AACAGAGTTTAGAGTTCTCTGATTCTCCATTTCTGGAATTCCTCCCTTATTCTCAGGCCAGAAAGACAGTAGACTTTCTATGTGAGTTTTTGCTATCTTGTTACCACACCGCAATTTTTGTTTGTTCATAGGTCAAAGTCACTCAAAGTGGGAAATGCTGTGTTGATCACTTCATATGCATTTTGATTCTGTGTACTTCCGTCTATTCTCTGGACTCCTCAGGTTGTTGTTTTGCCGTCTGGAGTTTCCAGTTGTTATCTGTGGAAAGGTCAATCTGTTAGAAGTTTACTTCTCCATACTGGAATTGGAACTCTCCACACCAAAGTCATCAAAAAATTAAAATTTTGCATATAAACAATTAATTATAAGAAATATACATGCTTTGGGTGCCTGAGTAACTCAGTTGGTTAAGCATCAGACTCTTGGTTTCGGCTCAGGTCTCCATCTCAGAGTTATTAACTAATAACTCAAGCCTGAGTCATTAGGTCAAGCCTTGGGCATTAGTCCATGCCCAGCATGGAGCCTACTTAAAAAGGGGGCAGGGGATGCCTGGTGGCTCAGTGGGTTAAGCATCTGACTCTTGATTTCGGTGGCTCAGGTCATGATCTCAGGGTCATGACATTAAGTCCTGCATCCGGCTTTGTGCTGGGCATGGAGATTAAGATACCCCCTTTTCCTCTACCCCTCCCTCCCCACCCCCAAAGGAATTATGCTTGCTTGACCTAAGGTTTATGTTTTTGGCATGTGTGTTTAAGAGAATTTTCCCTCTACTTGTCCATCCCTAACCACCATTTTACTTTCATAAGAGAAGTTTATTTCCTTATTCTTTCTCAGATTGTCTAATAAACATCCCTTGATAAGCTGATAGGCAACAAACCTATAGATCCAAGTCAGTGCTAGTCAAATTGTGGTTTGCCAATCAGTGCTTGTCCATGAACTATTTATTGCCTGTCCACGATGAGATGAGAACAGAACTGAGAATATCTATTTAGAAACTTTTGTCCAATTTTTATGAAGTCATTTTATATCTGTTAAATACAAAGAAAATTGGCCTTGTATTTTGCACATGTTCAGTTTTTACTTAAGTTTCATTTATTTAGTAATTAAATTTTCTTGTATTTTAAGAAGCATTGGTTGATGCTTAGAAATTAAAAACAGAACACTGGTTCTCTCTGCAGATAATCTGAGAAACACTGGCCTAGATTTCAAACAAGAAAATTACTTTTGGAAAGGTTTCAAGTTAACCATTTAATAGGAGGGATTGAAAGAGGACTTCAACTACTGACATTTTGACCTCAGTCTATACCTTTTAATTAATGAAGTTCTTTCTGGCTTATTTCTTAATTCAGGCAAAAGACCCTGTGGGCAGGGGTGCCTGAGTGGCTCAGTGGTTAGACGTCTGCTTTGGCTCAGGTCATGATCCTGGGGTCCTGGGATTGAATCCTGCATTGGGCTCCCCACAGGGAGTCTGCTTTTCCCTCTGTCTCTGCCCCTCTCCCTCTGTGTCTCTCAGGAATAAATAAATCTTAAAAAAAAAAAAAAAAAAAAAAAAAAAAAGACCCTGTGAGCAAAGCATCCCCTGAGGGGAACTGAAACTAGCACCTCAAGCAGAAAGAGCTTCCCTGAGCAAGACTGCCCATGATTGACTCCACGATAATGATCAATTTAACCTTTACTGCCCACCTGCACATACCCACGGACCTTGGTCACACATTTTCCTTGTATAAATCTGGAAGTATTTTCAGCACTTTAGAGACAGCTGAGAGGATAATTTGCTGTCTTCCCTGTGTTGACCTCACTGAAATAAATTCCTTCCTTGTTTCACCACCATTGGTTTCACTGCCTTTGGATTTTGTCAAATGGGAGTGGCTGCACCTGGTCTGTATGGGCTCCCTGGAGCCAGGTGCTCCTGCACACCTGTGCCTCAGCTACAAGATGAACCTACACTGTAGTTTAATTTTAGCAATAGTTTCTGAAGACCTGGGATAGGCTAAAGTGTTCTTTTAAAAGATAAGAAAACTGAGTTGAAGGGGATTTCTAATCAAGGGAATTTCTCTTGGATATAGGACACAGTAGCCAATATGTCAGAAAAATAATTCAGTACTAATCATTTAACTTTTATCTGAGATTCAAGTATTCTTTGCTTGTTGTTCACTTTCAGAAATTACTGCTTTAATATTTAGAAGTAAAGCAGTAAGTTCAGAGGAAGAAAAAATAACAATAGCATCAGATCCATTTACTGAGATCCTACTGTGCAAACTCTGTATTGGGAAAAACAATCCATTATGTGGATGTTTTTATTCCCATTTCAGAGGTGAGAAAACAGTTGTTGGGGAAGCAACTTAATTGAAATCACAGGGCAAGTACATGATAGAATCAGGGCCCAATTCAAATTTGTCTGATTCTAAAATCTCTACACTAACATTATTATCATTATTATTATTTTTTTTTTTTAGATTTTTAAGTAATCCCAGCATCTAACATGAGACTCGAACTCACAACCCCAAGACCAAAAGTCACACACTCTACCAAATGAACCAGCCAGGTGCCCCACAGTACTGTTCTTTATTAATTACCAGAGAGATTCATATACAAATCATTACATCAGGCAGATGGTTTCAAGTGCTCTATTATCATAGTTCTAGAAAAAAACGGGGCTGTAGAGAGTGCTTGGGTCTCCCATTCAAGGATTCATCCATCTTCACCAAACTTAGCTTAGAAAAATCCATGTCAGAGTATCAGGTGACAGTGAGTCAGCATTTTGGAAGCCAGGTAGAAACCAGGAATCAATAAGCAAATTCTTTTATGAATCATTGTAGATGTTTATGCTTGTTAAGTGTTTCTAACTCTTTGCTTATTAGAGGAGTACAGTTAAAGGACTCTTTAAAAATCATATAAATAAAAACTATCAGCTGCCATCCGATCCTTGCCAAGCTGGAAAATGAAAAGGCAAAAGCTTTTGTGTTTAAAAACATTTTATTTTAATAAGTATGCTGAACACAACTAGGTTAGGTTGTTCTTTTGGGGAATGTACTTGCATGTTAATATTTCACTGGCCCTATACTTTTAAGATTTTCTTAAAACATCGGTTGTCAGTATGAATTAAATCTAGTTTAAATGAACATCACTCTATTCTAGCAAGAAGTGTTTTTTTTTAATACGCTTTTTTTCTTTTTACGGAAATAATCTTAGCATCATTTTATACTTCATACACTGCGATTTGGTCTCAATCAGAAAAATTCCTTTATATTTTTCTTCTGTCCTTCCTGTGTCTTCCATAACAGAAAATTATCAGCAGAAGCATTTCCCCTTCACCCAATTCCTATTCTCTTATCACAGCTCTATCTACCCACCCTCCCTTCCTGCTCCGCAGGGGAATTCAAGAGGGCAGGGAAAGATTGCTAAAATTTGTCCCCTATCCAACACTGCCACACTCAGTAGTAGATGCATCTAATTCTTTTTGCATATTTATCAGTTCCCATTTTCCTCTTCCACACCTCCTTGTTTGTACAATGGACTAATGACAAAGTGCTTTGCCCCTGCACGCTTACAGACCACAGAGACCTCAAATCATTGTAGGACCAAACATTTCTGCTTTTCTAGTGCACTTTCTACAATGCCGGGCTGGTGGGGGGATGAGGAGCATTAATTTTTTTCCTACCTGTCCTATACTTTCTCTGCTAACCTTTGTCATGCCAGCCACTTCTCACTTCTCTGCCATCCCTCCTACAGGTTCCTGTCCCACAGCTACCATTTTTGAAGCTGTATTACTGTTTATACACCTTAACACATCACATCCTAAGAACCCTCACAAAGTAGGGAGTACGACTAACAGCTAATATTTGAGTGCTTACCATGTGCCGATAATTGTTTTTCCAATATTTCATTCAAATTCAATTTGCCGACATTCCGTGTAACAGCCCGTGCTCATCCCGTCAAGGGCGCCCTCAGTCACCCCATTCCTCCACCTCCTCTCCTGCGACTCTGTTTCCGAGTTAGAAGCCTCTCGGGGCTGGTCTCCCTCTCTGATTTTCCGCACTCGGTTCCCCTCCTTTCCCTTATAATCCCTCTCACTATTTGTTATATTCCCCCAGTGAGTGAAACCATATACTACTGATTGTCCTTCTCCGAGGACGGACTTACTTCGCTCTGCATAATACCCTCCAGGCCCATCCTCGCCGGAGCAAATGGCGGGCGTCCGTCCGTCCGTCCGTCCGTCCTGAGGGCTGAGCAGGATTCCACGTGTACACGGACCGCAGCTTCCGTATCCATCATCCGTCGATCCTTCCTCAGTTTGGCTATTGTGGACACTGCTGCTGCGAACTTTGGGGACAAACACTGTTTTAAGCATCTTACAGGTGTTAACTCACCTGATCTGTGAAGATACTATTTTCCTATTTAACAGATAAGAAAGAGGGTGTTCAATGCCTTGGGTTACGCTGCCAGGGACGGGCACAGGGGGGTTCTGAGTTCATGTCCGACTGGCTAAAGGAACTTTTAACCACTATTTAATTAATAATTATTATTTCCAGCCCCAAACCTGGTGACCTTGGCCATCTCCACTACCCTTTCCCCTTCACGTGGTCCCGCTCTCCCTCTCCTGCCCCCCCCCCCCCGCGCGGCCCCCGCCCCGCGCCGCCCGCGCCGGGTCCCTGCCCCGTGTTTCCCAGCATCCCCGGCCCAGTTACCCGCAGCCCCAGGACCCCTGCCCCTGCCCCTGCCCCCGGTGTGCACTTAGTCCTCTCTTTGACTCCTGCCATGCTCCTCCTCCCAGGGGTCCCCCGACCCTCCGGGCAGCGCGGGGGCGCAGGAGCGCGCGCAGCCAGCGCAGGGCGTCGGCCGCAGCCGGCGGCAGCCCCGGGGTCCTCGCTCCTGCGCGGCCCCCGGCGCGGTGCAGGCTGGGGGAACATGGCCGCTTCCGGTCTCCCTCCCGGGCCGGCGCTGGCCTGACCGCGGCCCCTGCCCGGCGCACTCCGCCCTCCGCTCCTCCCGCTCCGCTACCGCGGAGGTCGCTTCGGCCTTTCCGTCCCGCTGTCCCCGCCGCGCCATGGAGAAGAGCTCGAGCTGCGAGAGTCTTGGCTCCCAGCCGGCCGCAGCACGGCCGCCCAGCGTGGACTCTCTGTCCAGGTAACCGGGATGCCCGGGCCCCGCCCAGCGCCCAGCGCCCAGCGCCCAGCGCCCGAGAGGGATGGAGAGGGGCCTGGACCCACCGGGGGCGCCCCAGCTCTCGACTCTGCTTCCCGATGGCTGCGCCGAAATTCCTCTCCTGGGGCCTGGGAGCCACTTCTTCCTCCCCCTCTGGGGTTTGCAGGCTGGGGAGAAGGGAAGGTGAACACTCGTTGCTGCTTTACCGGCGACTCTACCTTTCTTGTAACATCTTTTTTAAATCCCGGGTGGAGGCAGCCCCCAGTTCACTAGTATCTCTTGTTTCTCATTCCCTCTCGAATTATTTTTTTGGACAGCCCTTCCCCCAACCACCACCCCTCCTTTCCTCCCTGCCTTTCTTTCCTGTACGCTTTTCCAAACCGTTCTCCAGGCTTGCTTCCATCTGTTCGTCTGTCTTCGATTTGGGGATTCTTGCTCACTTTTTTTTTTTTTTCCCCCATCACTTTATTTCTCATGATTTTCTCTATACTCCTCCCCCTCCCCCCATTTTGCTTTAAAAATGTAAATAAAAATGCCCACTGTACATCGCCTTTCAAAATCTTGCAGCTGAAAATCATTAGGAATCTGAGCAGTCCTTAACCCTGAGTGAATAATGAGTGTTAGCTTTCTTCCTTCTGGGGCTACCGGTTTTCCTGGTTATTTCTCTTGTGACCAGATGGGATTTTTTTTTTTTTTCCTGGAATTTTGAGGAGGACTCTAGTATGCAATTTTGTAGATAGCTGTTGTGAGTATGAACTAGACATATTTCAGAGAATGTTTTCCCTTTGGTTTTAAAATAGTGAATTAAAATCTAAGGAAAAAATAATAGATGACCTGTGTTTGTTATGTAGCCAAAATGAAATCAGGTTCTTTTCTACCAAAAAAAATAGTCTAATTAGAGTTATTCGATACTAATCTGTGTGAAAACACACATTTCATTTTCCTCAGAATAAATTGAAGTTTCTAACTTTTAGTTCATTTTGCACTCTACTAAATATGAGTGACACAGCTATGTTTTCCTATTACTGTTCAGACCTTGTTGTGAAAATATTAGCTGTTTCCTTCATTATACATTAGATTCTCTTCCTAAAGCACTCCTGGGAACCTGCTCCCACCGTTTTCAGAGTTCTCAACAAACAGTGTAATCGTGGGTTAATTATTTTCTGCGAGACTGTAATCTACTGGACCACATCTTACTATCTTATCTCCAGCATTTAACAGAGACACCTTTCATGTCAGAGGTTCTCAATAAAATTTTTTTTTGAATCTATACATTTAATTACCCAGGAGAGAAGGATTTTTCTTTGCATTCGATCACATATATTGTACATCTGTTTCGAGTATTTTAAAAATTTTATTACTCTGAAATTTAGGAAACTTAAGTTACATTTTTAGCTTAAAATTATGCAGAAAACAGGTTGTAAAATTAGAATTGTATAGGAAAGTTACAAATGGCAGCTATGATTCAGAATAGAATGTAAAGAAAACAAATGAGGCAACCAGTAATCTCACCCAAGCAAGAGGAAGTGGAACCGCAGGAGGCAGCATAGTCTGTTAGGATGAAGAATGTATTGGAAGTTAGGAGGCTCAGACTCTTAAAAGTCCCTGGCTCTGCTAGTTTTTTGGCCCGTATCATTTAACTCTTCCAGTCTGCAATTTTCACATCTTTCAAAATAAAGAAATTGATCTAGAGAACCTGCAACGTCCCTTGGCGCTCTAAAATTCTGTCATTCTTTATCTTAATGACAGTAATGATTAAGATACAATCTTATCAATTACTAAGATATTCCCTTTATGGAGTTTTAAAATTATACTAAATAAATCTGTTATTTCAAATTAACGTACCTAATTGTGCCACTTAAGCATATTTATTCCCTCCCCAAAGAAAGCCCAGTAACTTTAAAGTTTATATATTTTAATTCTTAATTAAAAATTATGTTACTGACATATGAATTTAAGAAAATTAACTCCTTGAGATAGTTTTGACTAGAATATGTTAGCCTCTTCCTTATGATCTACTTTCCATAGGAGAATGCCAGCTTTCATTCCTTTCCTTTGGAAGGTAGAAAAAAAATAACATTTGTTGAATGTCTACTATGTAGAATTCACCCTGCTAAATTTTTTCATGTCTTTTAAGAATCGTTACACATGTTTGATCAACAGTGTAAAATAGTTGCATTGTAGACACTTGTTAGAAAGCTTAAATTTAAACTTAATCTAGGCAAACAAATTGTAGGTGAGAGGGCAGAAAACCATGATTATAATAGCTATGCTACCTGGCTATCCAGCTGTTTATGATTTTAATGTGATAGCCTATAATAAAGCAAAATATCAATATTTGGACTGTATTGTCTCAGCCTTCTGCAGAAACATTGCCCTTAAATTGTAGTTTATTTTTATGCCTTCTGTTTTTTTACAACTAGGAAATTTTCAGTGTCAAATTTTCAATTAGGAAATTGCCACGTGAATTTGTTCCGATACAACAATAGCTAATATGTTCAGTGTATTCCATATGTTTTTTACAGACTAGATTGATAAAAGTTTCTGTTGAGTTTAGCTTCAAGAAATACTGTTCATGCAAAAAAAAAAATGCTTCCTATTTGAAAATGGAAACTATGTAACTGCATATTTATCTTCAATTTGGCAGAAAGGCTTCAGTCAGATTTGTAATCAAAGTTGGTAATACATGCCTATCTGATTTCTTCAAGTATTCTATTAGATTAATTCAGTTTAAATATTATATTGAAATGTGTTAATTTGTAAGTTTTATGTTTTTCTGGGAAATAGGAATATAAATCTGAAAAATAATACACTAATCCTTCTGGTTGCCCACTGTTTTTTGAAAATGACACACTCCATTCAGGTTGGGCAACTGGCTTTTGTGAGACCTATAGTTCATGCTAAATGTACATCGAGTCTTGTGGTGCCTGAGTGGCTTTTGGTTGAGTGTCCTGCTCCTGGTTTTGGCTCAGGTCATGATCTCTGGATTGTGGGACTGAGTCTGGAGTCGGTCTCTGTGATCAGCACAGAGTATGTTTGAGAGTCTCTGTCTCACCCTCTGCTGCACCCCACCCCGGTGTGCACACTCTCTTTCTCAAATAAATAAATAAAATCTTTAAATGTATGTCGAGTCTTGATATGTCTGTTTATCTGTGTTTATCTATGTAGTTGTCTCAGAGTTGCTAGTACTTCTGGCTTTGCCTTCTAGGTCACCATAGGCTTGATGCTTTTGGCCACAAAAGGGTGATTTTATTTTATTTTTTTTATGTGATATCCAGATAGTAGTTTCCTAATAAGCTATAGTTATGTCATCTTGCATCCTTAAAAAAAAGTAATTTTTTTTGGTGAATCTTGCATGTTTATCAGCTCTTGTATATCCTTTGTTATCTATTCTTCAATGTGTCTAGCCCCACAGAGAGAGAATTGTGAAAAAATTCACTTCAGCACACTGATAATCTGGCTCTGTTCCATAATTTAATTCTTGTTGCCCTTGCTCTGATTCTTGACATAAGTATGATTTGTACAGGATATAGATAAAACAGTACTGTAGGCTAGATATGATAGGTAGGTAGGCTTGAGCCTTAGATTGTTTAAGTTGTACAGCAGGATTTGTCACTATCTTGGTATCTGGTTTTCCATTTTTTCAGTTTGTACACTGTTATAAAATGTACTGCTTGAGTGGATTTCTTTGACTCTTTTTTACTATGCATAATCACCTGCTAATACATCTAGTGCCATAGGTGGCCACTAAATGTTTAAATAAAGAAATATTGAGTGAATGTTCTGCTCTCTTCTTTGTTGTCTCCACTCAAAGCATTAAAAAAGGTTTTCTTATGTTGAATTTGGCCTATAAAGACACAATTTCAGGCTACTAAAGTTACTTTTGCATGATGCCTCTTGACACACTGAGCTGATTCTATTGGCTACATTATCTTTTCTGTGCCCAGTCATATATCTTTATAACATTGTGTTCATTTTATCCTACCTGCTTTTCCATCTACTACTCTGGATTGTTGTCTTTTTCTGTCTGACTTATGTCAGTCATCTTTTTAAATGTCTGTTTTTTTCTTTCATCTTTTATATACCCTCATTCTCTAGTTATTCTGGGCACCACTTGTTTGTCTCAGTTTATTTTGGTTTATCAGTTGGTTTCTAGTGAATAAAATTCTTTAGCATTTATATTTACATATTTATATGTATATGGTACTTACAATCTGAAAAGGGAGAAGAGTTTTTAAGGTTTCTGAAACACATTTTTTGTAAGAGGTCATTCCTAGTTTCAGCCTCAAGGTCACTTAGAGCTGATATATTGGTAGGACATGTGCTTTTGAGTTGTTTTCCAGTAGTGGTGATGGATTTGTGTCCAATCGCACATTCTTACCCACTCCCTTTGTGACTCTTGGCATGTATTCTGAGGTAACTGGCCAGGATTAGTGGTAGAAACTAGTTATGGAACTAAGCAAAACTTATAGGTTGAATTTCCAACCTTGGCAAAATAATTAGCACCTTGTGTCAAATATTGGACATACTTATTTTGTATTTCATTATTCTAGGACCCTAAGAGATTTTTAAAGTTCTGTCAGATAAGGTCCAATATTATTGTGAACTAATCAGTAATTACTGTGTAGATTTTTCTGAAAGAAAATTTAAAAAGATTAATTACTAATCAAAAGTATACAAATATACTAAAGTTGAGATTGGGTCCCATATTTTTTTTTTCTTTCCTCATTATGCTATCATCAGTGGTCTTCCATTAATGTAGACCAGTCAGTAGTTCCCAAATAAGTAGCATCAGAATCCTTTGGGGCTTTGTTAAAAATCCAGATTCCTTAGTGCTACGTCAGATGTAATTGGATAAAACATTCTGGGAGTGAAGCCCACAGTGTGTTTTAGCAAGTCTTCCAGGTGATCCTAAACTAAAACTAGAGTCTGAAAACCACTGCTTTAGATCTTTTACGAATTGTTTTTAGTAACTCCATCAGTATTTGTTGAAACAGACTAAGTTAAGGTCTATGTTACAGCTACCATAAGCTGATTACTTAAAAGCATTTTTGTAGAAATATTGACTGAAGTAGTGAAAGGTAAAAGTCATCTCTTTGAGATTTATGATACCTGATTTTTAGGAAATTTCTTGTGGTTTTTCTTTCTCAGCTATGAGTAATACATCAGGAATACATGTTTTAAGCCTTTACTTAAAAATAGGTCTTGGGGATCCCTGGGTGGCGCAGTGGATTGGCGCCTGCCTTTGGCCCAGGGCGCGATCCTGGAGACCCGGGATCGATTCCCACGTCGGGCTCCCGGTGCATGGAGCCTGCTTCTCCCTCTGCCTGCATCTCTGCCTCTCTCTCTCTCTCTCTCTCACTGTGTGCCTATCATAAATAAATAAAAATTAAAAAAAATATATTAAAAAAAAAAAATAGGTCTTTGGGGTGCCTGGGAGGCTAAGTTGGTTGATTGCCCAAGTCTAGGTTTCAGCTCAGGTCATGAGATCAAGTCCTGCATGGGTCTCTACTGTCAGCGGGGAGTCTGCTTGAGATTCTCTCTCTCTCTTACTGCCCCTCCTTCACTCTCATGCATACTCTCTCTCAAATAAGTAAATCTTAAAATTAAAAAAAAAAAAGTCCTTGGTGAAATCTGTAGTTGTAACATAAATTTTAAAAAACATTATAAATAAGTAATTCCAGGAAGCCATCACCTGAACCAGTAAAGTCTGGATTACGCCCCAGGGAAGGAAATACCCAGATACAGATGTCCAGAAATCAGTAAGTTTATTTTGTAAAGCTGCCAAGTTCATGCTATTGTATTCAAAATCAACAGGGCCAAAGGTTGCATGTGATTCAGTACTTGACCAGTGGAAATTCTCTAGATTTTAGTAGAGACTATTTTTTCTTTTTAAGAAAATTAGTTTTGAATAGGTAAAGCACTTGCTATCTTTGTCCTATTGTTTGATTTAGTTAAATCTGTAGATAGGATTAAAAACTATTGAGAGTTGATAGTCAAGGATAGGGAGTGACTTTACAAGCATTCTTCCCACAGGAAGTCAGGTTAAAAATGGAACTATTGAAAACAAAAGATTGGTACAAAGTTATTAAAATCGAAGGGACTAGAGAAGATGCCCTCTTTTTTCTTTTAAATTTATTTATTTGATAGACTGAGCAAGAGAGAGAACACATGAGCAAGGACAGAGGGAGAAGCAGACTCCCCACTGAGTATGGAGCCCAACTCAGGGCTCCATCCCAGGGCCCCGAGATCATGACCTGAGCTGAAGGCAGATGCTTAACTGACTGAGTCACCCAGGCATCCGAAGAAGATGCCCACTTAATGAAAATAATAGTCTCAGTTCCCTTTCCTGTAATTTTCTTACACAGAACGCATTGTGCTGTCCCTCGTAATGTGCTTTTATGTGTGTGCCAGTGCTGCCATCACTACAGACCACTAACGCTCCAACTTCACAGTCCTTCCCCTGTCAAGTACTTAGTACTTACAGCAGCAATCACTGATGACTTTTCAAAGACGCTTACTTTATGAGATTAACTCTTGAGGTCTTTAAATACTTTTTAGTCTAGATTAAATAAAGGCAGATACTGTTTTCAGTGTAAGAATTCACTTCTAAAATCTGTTTTTTAAAAATTTTTTTTAAGAGACTTTATTTATTTATTAGAGACACACACACAGAGAGAGAGGTTGAGAGAGAGAGGCAGAGACGCAGGCAGAGGGAGAAGCAGGCTCCATGCAGGGAGCCTGACGTGGGACTCGATCCCGGGTCTCCAGGATCATGCCCTGGGCTGAAGGTGGCGCTAAACTGCTAAGCCACGGGGCTGCCCTAAAATATGTTTTAAACTATATACTTCAAAAACCCTAAATACTGATATTTGGAAAACTCCTATTATTTTATTTTTTTAAGGTTAGGGTTTAGGTTTGATTGAATATAACAGAAAATCCAAACTTACTGTGGCCTAAAACAGATAATTTTAGTTTTCCTCCCACATAAAAATGCCCAGAGATAGTCAATACTAATCTGATATAGTGGACCTGAAGTAACAAGAACACAGCTCTTTACTGCAGTGTTACCTCATGAATCAAAATTGCTGTTGGAGCTCTAACCATTGCTTTCATTGTAGTCAGAAGGAAGGATGGAAGGATGAAAGGAAGAAGAAAAGCATGTTTTCCTTCTTTAAAGAATACTTTTTTGAGGTTACATCTAGTCTTTTAAGCTTATATCTAGTTGGCCAGAATGTGGTCCCATGGCCATCCCTAGACACAGGAAGGCCAGGATATGTAGTCTTTTCTGGGAAGCCTGTGCTGAGCTAAAAATTGGAGGTTCTGTCTGTAAGAAATAGGAGAGAATAGGCATTGGAGACAGCAGCTTCTCCATAGTATATAAATGAATCATTTTTGCAAGGAAGACAGTTTTCATTTCCGGTTAAAGTTGACAATACTTCAGAGACATTCTTAGACTTGCAAAAGCAGTGACCAAAGTGGAAAATATGCTAAGAGACATGATATATTGTAGCAGACCAAAAAAGAAAACTATCTTGGAACACTCTAAACTCTTGAGTTTAACTTCGTACTTTCTTTGTGTATTTTCTTGGGCCAGATTTTTATAATCCTAACCTGGGATCATAACGAAAACCGGTATGTTTAATACTTGTCAACTCATTAAGTGAAAGGCAAATGGAAATCAAATGAAAAATGATCATCTCTTCTATTTCATTTTTTATTTTGTTTGAAGAGCTCAAGGAATTGCATGGTAAAGTAGTGGTGGTAATGAGGATGGTGGCCAACACTGCTTACTCTTCTTTTGTTTCTAGTTTGCTTCCCAGCCATGTATCCATGTGTTTTATCTCCCCCCAAAATGTTGCATCAGGTTCCACTTAGGTTTTTCTCATCAGTTCTAAAAGTTTAGTCTCCATAGGGGAAATAAACCTGTCCATTTGGGGCAATGTTGGTTTATCAGTGCTTTTGCCAATATTGACTGTTTTTGTATCTTTGACCTAAAATTTTGGAAACTCAGAGAAATCTGTGTTTATGCATTTTTTTGTGTTTTTGAACTTAAATATTAATATTTTAAGCATGTAATGTCAAACATAGGTGTTTAATCTTTTGGGAGTGGGTTGAAGAGGGTAGAGAAGTCTCCTCTGGGTTGGTATGGCATTATTTTTTGGGCTCAGAGGATTTAAAAGGCACATGTCACAAATTATTCCAGAAGTAAATTTATTATTGTTGTGATTATTAGTAGTATATATAACAGCACTTACTATTTTTGAGTGCTTGCTGGGCATGGTGCTAAATCCCTTAATATGCATTTTCTCATATTATCCTCATAATTATATAAAATAAACAATATCATTGTTTCTATTTTACAGATGAGAAAACTGGAGATTAGGGAGAGCACTTTGACATTTGGATTCAAATGGTCTGTTTAACCTCAAGGTCTTTGTAAAGAACTGATCATGCCTGAAGATTTAGTGTTCTAGGTCTAGGCCAAAACTTGGTAGTTATAGGGCAGTCCTAGGGGAGGTTTGATTAAATGGTAGTGGCAAGGAAATGAGGTTCTTTGATTGGCTACACTGTAACGCAGGAAAAAGATACTAATACTCAGTACATCAGTGAATTCAGTGTGTCTCTATTTGGAGAGAATTTTCTCCGGCTTTGATTGTTTTTTGCTTCTGACAGAAAATAGGATGATTTTTTTTTTTTCTTTGCTTGATGATAAAGAGGATAGTGTCATTAGAATGATACTGCATTTTGAACATCAGATAAATTGTGAAGCAGGTAAACAGGGTACCAAAGCCTCTTCGGGCCTCTCCCTCCCCTGCAGGCTTTACAGGATAATTTAGAATACTTTACTGTAGGGTTCCTTAACTATCTGAATTCCCCTAAGTTCCTTTGTGTGTTTGTTTACAGTTAATGTGTTAAGAGCCATTGACATTTGAAGATCATCAGAAGTGAAGATAAAACATCTCAAAAATTATAATGTAAGTGAATGGGAAAACGGAATTAAACAATGGACAAAAGTTGATATTGTCACCAATATTTCTGGAATCCATATTCTTTTATCCCGAGTGAAATTTATGCATTTGAGTAACCAGTACCTTCAGACTTTAGTTCCATGTCCCAGTCCTTAAAATTCTGTGTTCTCTTCTATCCAGAGTAAACGGTTGCTATGTTTTAGTCACCAGTAATTTTCCACTAAAATTCTTTTGGCTTCTGTGTACTGTTTTTTCCCTTTTTTCTCTTTAGTAGTTTGCTGTTTGACAATGGCTCATCTTAATGCTTAAAATTGTATGTGTGTAGAGACTGAGGTTTTTATTCTTCGGCAGCTAATGTGTTTTGCGCAGTTTTAATTTTACTACTGTTTTGTATATTTCTTAGCCAAAAATATGACCGGTTAGCTATCTGGCCTCCTCCCTTCCTTCCTTCTTCCCTTTCTTCCTCTAAAAATTTGTTTAGCATCTACTATATGGCCTGCACATTATGCTAGATCCAGAATTCCTAAGGCATTGGTGCTGAAATGAGTTGTGTCATCTTTTTATACAGTTAGGGACGTTAGAGATATCTGGTGTGACTAGGACTTGTGATGACCTAAAGTGTGACTGACGACCACCTGTGTATTTCAGTCACTTTGTGGTGTTTGGTAGATATTTAGCTTCCTAGGTTCCATCACAGAAATTCTGAATCACTGGGAGTGGCCCCCAGGAGTCTTCATTTAAAGTGAGAACCTTCAGGGATGGCTGGGTGGCTCGGTGGTTGAGTGCCTCTGTTTGGTCCAGGGCATGATCCTGGAGTCCTGGGACTTTTGAGTCCCACTTTGGGCTCCCCACAGGGAGCCTGCTTCTCCCTCAGCCTGTGACTCTGCCTTTCTCTGTGTCTCTCATGAATAAATAAATAAAATCTTAAAAAAAAAATAAAGTGAGAACCTTCAATCCAGATACTTTTTGGACTCTAGACATTTGTAGATGCAGGAACAGACCTAGAGAAGTTTAAATAAATTACCCAAAGATATAATATGTGTTAGATGGCCAGACAATACTGGTGTTGTTTCCTCCAATTAGTGTTAGAAATGATCTCCTGACTCCCAATTCTAGACTTCACTAAATCACCTGGTGACTTTTTTGGGCCAGGCAGCTTTACTATGTGTATATGTAAAATCATAACAAATCTGTCACTGTTAATTAAAAAAATGCACATATGGGTTTTGTGCATGAAAAACATGGACTCTTTCTTCATTAGATATGTGACTGGTTCTGATTTTGAAATCACTGGGTAAAAAGACCTAAGTAGTCCCAAGTAGAGGGCCCCTGCTCTCCCCCTCCCCTGCCATGGTACTATTCCTACTTGGCCTTTAAGTTTTATGCTTTTTTTTTTTTTTAAGATTTTATTGATTTATTCATGAGAGACACACAAAGAGAGAGAGAGAGTAGAGACACAAGCAGAGGGAGAAGCAGGCTCCATGCGGGGAGCCGGATGTGGGACTCGATCCCAGGTCTCCAGGGTCAGGCCTTGGGCTGAAGGTGGTGCTAGACCGCTGAGCCACCCAGGCTGCCCAAGTTTTATGCTTCTGAGAAAGAGGGATTTGATTTAATTTTTGAATTATGGTAGCTAGCGTAGTGCTTTGCAGATAATAGGTGCTTGCTAAATTTTAGTATTAATAACTTACTGCTAAAACTTTTACTGTAAAAAACTTGTTTTTTTTTTTTCCTTTTGGATTCTATGAGGTACTATTAGGAGTGGTTTTATTTTCTTAGTATGGAATCTGATACTTTATATACCAAGACAGAGACCTTAAGCAGTTGAAGTTATTTTATATTTTTAATAGTGAATTATTATGGCTGAGTGAATTATTATGGCTAATAGTGAATTATTATCCCTCACAGTATCTGAGGGACTTAAATAATCTAAATTATTTTCTGAACTATAAGAGTTTGACTTTGTTTTAGTATTCTGTATATTTTATATTGTATTGTGTATGGTATACTGATAATTACTGAGTTATAATCTTACATTAGTAAATCCAATTAGTGATCCAATTTTTGGGAAATATTCTGTAATTCTTGAATTTATTAGTAAGTTTAACTATAAAATGCCATTACCCAATTTTCTGGATATTTTGGGACATGTTTTAATTATATGATGTAAGAAAAGTGATATTTTTTATTATTTTTTTTGAAAAGTGATATTTTAAAGTCACTTATTCATTTCTGATGTTTAAATATTTTGAATTTTTTTTTTAAGGTTTTATTTACTTATTCATGACAGACAGAGAGAGAGGCAGAGACATAGGCAGAGAGAGAAACAGGTTCTACAGGAGTAGAGTCCTCCCCCACGTGGGACTCGATTCCGGGACTCCAGGTTCACGCTCTGAGTCAAAGGCAGATGCTCAACCACTGAGCAACCCAGGTGTCCCACTATTATGAATTTTCTTTCTGTTAAATGATTTTGCTTTTTTTTAACCACAGGCCCAAAATCATAAATACAATAGCTCTAAAAGGGAACTTTACTATGTAGTCTAACTCCTTCTTTTTTTAATGTTGAGGCACTAAAGAGTGTGTAAGAGTGGAAGTTTTGTTGTATGTTAATGTACATTTGTGAACAAACAGGATAACGTTTATGTTTCTATGATGGTATGGTGAAATGCTTTCAAAACTGTAAAGTGTAACACAAATATAATGTATTATGATTACTGCTTTGATGATCCTATGTCTTCTGTGTTTTCTTGTGTCTTAACTTAAAATATTCACTATTGTTTAATTTAAAATCAAAAGAGAAATACATATGTTTGTTTCTTGGTCTTCCACCCATTTTCCATGGAAAAAATTAATGAATGCTTAGTATTAGCCCTCAATGTAATCAAAGTAGCTAATAGTAATGTTAACACATCTTAGTATAGTTTTTGTAGTTACAAAGCTGTTTGACCTACATCATCTCCATTATTTCTCATAACAGCCTTGTGAAGTAGGTCTTCATTTGACAGATCAGTAACTGAAGCTCAGAGAAGTGACACGACTATCCATTATCTCTTGCTTATGAGAGATGGAACTGGAACTGGAACTTTGACTCTAAATGCCATTCTGTTTCCACTGCCCAGCATAAATCATAACATGGAACTCCTGAAATTTCATGGGTCATATACATCTTAGCTATTTAAAGGAAATTCTGAATATTGGAAAATTGGTGACAGGTTCATCTGGTCCTGCCAGCCTATTTATGCAGTGCAGACTTCTCTTTAAAAGTCTGAATCATGTTGCTACTCTTGAAGTACTTAGAAGAGATAAGAGATGCAAGTGTCTTTTGGATCAAAGACTCATTCTTAGCATGGCTATCAGCGTGTGCTGCTTAAAATTGTTTGAGTGTGGGATTCCTGGGTGGCGCAGCAGTTTGGCGCCTGCCTTTGGCCCAGGGCGCGATCCTGGAGACCCGGGATCGAATCCCATGTCGGGCTCCCGGTGCATGGAGCCTGCTTGTGTCTCTGCCTCTCTCTCTCTCACTGTGTGCCTATCATAAATGAATTAAAAAAAATTAAAAAAAATGTTGAGTGTTTAAATGTTTAAAAACAGTAGTAATTCTGTCCTCTGGAAGTATATTGAACTGTATAAGCTCAAAAAAAAATATACCATGATATGATACAACACAGTGTACTGAAAAGTCTTGATCCTTAGTCCTTGGTTCTTTAGTTCTGATTCTACTTCTTGACTGTAACTCTGGATGAGTCATTTGATATCTGTGAGCCAGATTCCCTTATCTGGAGAAAGGGTAAAATCATAACCTGCAATCCTACCTTTACAGGATTGTTGTGAGGCCTAAATATGCGGATTGATGATGACAATTATAAGAGAAAAATCAGTTAACAGCTGTGTAGTGCGTACCATGTGGTAGGCACTGTTCTAAGTATTTTATGTTAATTCATTTAGTTCTCATAACAGTCCTATATGAAGTATAAGAATTGTCATTATTCCCACTTTAGGTGAGGAAACTGAGAGGTGAAGTAACTTCCTCAAGATTATACAGAGTAATTGAACCGAATTCAGTACCTGGCAATCTAGCCCTAGAGTTGGTAGTATGTATGGGAGATAATGTATGGATGAGAGTGCTTTGACTTTTCTAAAGGACTATGCTAATGGTTCAATATTAAAAAAAAATTGTTTAAAAAGCAAGATGTGTTCTTCATCTTTATCATACAGAGAGAGAAAAAGAAAGCAAAAACAAGCAAGAAAAAGTATCTTTTTGATTTATAATTTTTTACAATTAAACTTGTAAATTTGGAAAAGTCTTTGAAATTATGTAGAGAGACATCACTGAATGATGCTAAGACATTCGATTTTTTTACTTTAACCTTTCCAGGCTAGAATGAGAAAGAGACATTGAATGGTTTTCTTTTTCTACTGACTGTTTTAAGTTAATGACTGCAAAACAAAACAAAACACCTGTGTTAACTTACGGGATTTTGAAGGTTGTGCAGAAAATTTTTATCTCATTACACTGTAAAGAGAGTGACCAATTAATAGTAATAATTAGTTTTGCTCTATCTAGGATAAAAAAAAAATCTCTCTAGGTAGCCTGAAGAATATGTGACTTTCTGATTTTGATATTGAATTCAGATTTGCATGATGGAATAAGAAAATTATATGTGAGGTCATTTATCAAAGCCTGAATTCCCTATGTTGTTTCTGTTCGGGTAACAGTGTTTTTGAGCAGGCATTTATTGCATAGGTCAACTCTTCTTTTTTAGTATTTCTGATCTTATATTTCAATTTGGGATGGAAGTGTTCTAAAAGGAAATGCAATTTCAGAGTCAGGCACTTTGAGTTCTAATGATGTGACCAATTTTCAGTTTAATATGACATTTTCTTAGCTAAGCTGAAATATAAATAACTTTTCTCTTCGATTCTACTTATGAATCCATATAGGTTTTAATTTTAGCCTTCATCTGAGTTTTAGTCAGATTTAGAAGTTCTGAGAAATTCTTTTAAGGGGTTGC